GGGACAAACTGGTCCGTCATTCTGGCGTCTCTCTTTCAAGTCACTCTAAAACAATTGGTCGGCGGTTTCAGACCTTACTTTCTTGACGTTTGTATGCCAGATATCTCCCTCGCTAAAACGCACAACAAGACTGGCTTGAATGGAGTTGGTTTCTACCAAATCATGTATACCACCGAAATCTGCACGCAGCCTGACAAGTCGAGGATCCAAAATGCCATCACTTCGTTCCCAAGCGGACACACGACAGCCGCTTTCGCCGGATTCGGATTCCTCTTCCTATGGCTCAACGCCAAACTCAAGGTCTGGGCAGACCACAAGCCCGCCTTCTGGAAACTCTTCCTCACATTCCTACCTCTCCTCGGAGCAGTCCTCATCGCTGGTTCACTCACCATTGACGCTGCGCACAACTGGTACGACATTCTAGGAGGTGGATTCATCGGCACGATCATGGCATTCGCATCATATCGGTCAACCTATGCTAGTGTCTGGGACTGGCGTTTCAACCACCTCCCACTTCAAGAGACGGAGGCTTTCCGGTATGGATTCGACGGGGACTTGGACTATGCTGCTCAGACCATATCTATGGCGGCTGGATGGGGAGGCAAGAAGGTTAGGTTGCCTGAAAGCGCGAGTGCCCCTGCTATCAGCTCCGAGTCCACGCTTCGAAGTGGCGCTGAGGAGATAGAGAACCTGGATGCGAATACTAGAAGGAAGCGAAGGGGACCGGTTGGAGATGAGGCTGTCTAATGAGGGGGCTTGAATGTACACAGGAATATTCGTAGTTGGAGTTGGAGCTTGACATAGATTTGCATATCGATCATAACGGTAATGACAAATTTGGCAAGAATATATTTCTTCGACCTCGGCTAAGGATCCATCGATGCAAAAATAGTCTTGATGAGTTAACAACCAACGTTCGATCTGGTTGCTCTGTCTGCTCGACTTCTCTGCCGGAAACCCCGGAAACCCCGGAAACCCCGGAAACTTTGAGGAGACCCCTTTCTGCAGTTCATATCGATTCCAAAAAAAACATAATTCCAACTATACAATCTCTTTAAGCATATCGGATTGAATGAAAACATTATGATCAAATGCTTCGGAGAACTATTACAAGACCTAGGAGAAGAAAGCTATTACCTAGGCCCAGATTGACAAAAAGCAACACCCAGTAAGCAAACATGCATGACCCCAAAAACTAGTATCCTGACGCAGCAAGCCTGGCCTTCTCCTCATCCACAATCTTCTCCTCGTCGTCCTTCTTCACAACTTCATAGTCAGGAAGATCCTCCTTCACATCACGAGGAGTGACCACAGGCTGTGTTTGCTCTCGAGTCTCTTGCGCCTGAGGTTCATCGGTGTATCTCTCCTGCTTCTCAGATAAGATGCCATCCCTAGGAGGAGGGATCTGGCCAACTGCTTGCACAACAGTTTGGTTATAGTCAGTTCGGCCTTGAAGAGCCTGAAGGACCTCAAACAGAGGTTTACCCGCCATAGGCCAAGCAACATCGCCGCATAAAACCTTCTCTGCCGTGATACCTCGCTCGTTGTAGAAGGTGGCATTGGCATCTCCTCGCGTCACAACGATAGTACCGTCGATTTGAACACCCATCCATAAACCACGGCTCTTCATGTAACTCCACATAGGCCGAGCAGTCTTGCTGAGCGCAGCCTCAACACTACCACCTGTTCCGATAGGTCCTAGAGCAACTGAGCCCTCGGCGCCGAATGACAACCGAGGCTTTGTGAAGGCGGCGACTTGCTCTGGGGTGTTGAGGACACAGACGCAGTCATAAACATCGAGTCCAAAGACGAAGCCAGCTCCGAGACTGCTTACGATGAAGGAGGAGGGAGGAGACCATGTACCGTCTGAGCGACGGGCGATGACTACGCCAGAGCCCCCTGAGAGAGAGTTGTGGCCTGCACCAGCACGAATGACGTTGAAGATGGCGAGGCCGGCAGCGCTTTGGAGGACTGAAGGTGGAATTTTGACCATTGATTTGCGTGTAAGACCAGTTGGGTGGAGGGGTCCTTTTTCAGTGGGCGACGTAGAGGAGTTGAGGTCTAGACTTGTAAGTAAGGTGCTTGTTAGGATATTTGTATAGGCCTTACTCGTGAAGGAGTGAAGGATACGGGCAGCCTTGCTGCATTCCTTGTCCATAGTAGAAGGCCACCAACCCTCAGCACCAAACAAATTTGCGGCCTTGTTCAATGGTGAACCAGCCTTGGCGCTGATCTTGTGGAACCTCTCGCCAGCTGTGGGCTTAGCGGTAGAAGACACATCGCGATCTTGAGGTTGGGGTTGGGGTTGTTGATACTCTGTGCTATCAGGTTGGATAGAGTAAGAGGGAAGTTGACCGGCTTGCTTAAGAGGATCAACGTCCTCGACGAACTTGTTGGATGTAGAGCAAAGAGTCATTGTGATGATTATTCGAAGTGTCCAAATGGTATGTGAGTGAAAGTGACTGTATAAAAAGTGAAGATTGCTGATTGTATGGTTCTAATACACTCGGCCAGGCACTATTCATCCTTATATGTCCTTGCTCGCTGTATTATCCCGATTCCACACATCTCGCATTCTCTTAAGCCTACGCAATCTCGTCCAACCAAACCGTGTATTGCTGTTGCCTCTAGGCGCAGTAAACGCGGCCGCCTAGCTAAGATGGATGTGTAGTGCGTGGACTGAGGCGCAGCGTCGCCGCACGAGAAGCGAGACAAGAGCGAATGACGATCCACCATGAGGAAGGAGTGACAACTCAATCAAAGAGACGATACTATATTCAAATAGAGTTCAATTTTGTCAACAAACACCATAGATACAAAGCTTTCTTGGCTCAGTTGGTTAGAGCGTTGGTCTCATATCTGTATAGAGTGACTTAGCTTCAAGCTAGGGTTATCCAAAGGTCGTGAGTTCGAACCTCACAGAGAGCATTCCTTTTTGCTGATGGTGTTGTGAAGTTGTTGGAACCATCATGACCGGGCCCACTGTTTAAGCTTTACCGTGCGAGTTGGTTAAGTGGTGGCATATAAAGTGGGTCTACACACTTGATTGCCAATCAAAAGCATGGACCTTAGCCTTATACAGTCTCGATACATTATAATACTGTACCACCCATAACAATAGGCTTCGCTTCCATTGTACCTCACAATAGTTTACCAGTAGCATTTCTTTTTATTTACTAGTCAACACGCTCGGCCAGCAATATGTACATGCGTATTTGCAAGGGGCAGACAGGCAAAAGCGTCGATTCTTGTAAATAAACAGGAGCGTCTAGCCAGAAGGTTTCCCTATATCCCTTCACTGAGTCTTTGATGCTCTTGAGATCAAGAGGTGCCTTCAGAGTTTACGATCTTGTTAGTATCATCAAATTGTGAGTTTTTATTACTGCCATCGAGCGCAAATGAAATTACTCAATATATATCAGTTCCTCCATTCTTGAAGAGTCTGGTTGGAGAACATAATCACCTAATACATGCTTCAATTTCGATTCAACAGCTTGACATCGATATCATGTGAAAAGCAATACCGGTCTTGGAGCATTTGTACCCAGCAATGATCCCTGGAACGAAGGGGTTATACGTACGGTACACCACCGTCAGCCGATCTCAGTCTATAGACACTCGGCAATTTTTTGTATTGTGACCAGACATCTAGGGCAGGCGAAGAAAAGCCTGGCGCATTCCAAACAACTCCGGTGGTTGTAGCAAGACCATTGGCTATTGGCCTTGTCTAATGCTCCAGTTCAAGAATTCCATGGTTGTAACACATATGATACAGAAGGCACAACATCGCTTAACTAGTCACAGCATTCACAAGTACAGACGATAGAAATGAAGGGGCCAGCGGCGTCGTTCATCTAATACTGACACCTTAGGCCTCCTACACCCTCGAACAATGTTCGGAGTCAACGGATCGCAAACGTAAAGGTCGATGCAGATGGTACGACACAGGCTCACCGAAGTCAGGTCTATATGACTATTGGATCATGGAGAAGTTAGCGCAAGCCGTAGCCTGCATGCACACGAGCAGTCAATCAAGCACAATGATATCAAGCTTGACAACATCTTGCTCTATGCACGGGACTCGCCAAACATCCGCCCTCTTCTTACTGATGTTGGTGTGAGCAAGGTATTCGTCCGTGGAGGTTCAACCAAATTCGACGACTGCCCGTATATCTTACTAGCTCCAGAGCAAGTCGCGCATCTGGAGAGAAACCTCCGTGCCGATATATGGCAACTTGGATGCTGCTTTGCTCTGGTGCTCGGTATGGCAAAGAGAGGCAGAGCTGGACGAGATGGGCTGTGGGATAACTTTTGCAGGACAGAGGATCGATGTGCGCACCAAATTGCTACAGAACATGCGCATTTATTGAAGAGTCTCAAGGCCTTGTGTGACGAGTGCTCATCTAAAGGCGAGGCTTTGAGCAACCAGTTGGCATATGAGCTTGTATCAGGCATGTTGGACAAGAACCATGAAACAAGGCTGGAGATTCATCAAGTCTTGTCACGCCTTGACCTACTTGTTGCTCAGATGAGCACAGTTGCAGTGGGAGATGTTGACATGAGCTACTTGTGAGGAACTCGAAGGTAGTGGATGGTTATATAGCGTTTGGACAACTCGGAGGAGCAGTTTCTAAATTTCTACGGGCAGGACTCGCATTGGTTGGGCGTCAAACGGTATCTTGAAATGTCAAAAAGACCATAATTAATTGTCAATTCGACTAATCTTTACACATCCCGTCGTCACAGTTGATGCATCGGCAGAATAATGATGTCGCAGGCCAAGCAAGTGTAACATCTGATTGGCCGCTCCGGACCTCACTCCCCAGATCCCAATTGCCGTGTGTAGTGGGTACGTACCCAGCACATCCCCCACGTCATCTCAAAGGGAAGCTGACCTCAAAGAGGTATCTCAAGCACCTCCCATAATGACAATTGTACCACAAACACCATAAACCAACTTCAACCATCCACGCTCCTTTCTCACACCGCCCACCGCAGCAATGGCTCCCGCCGCTACAAACTCTTACAGCGAGACTGCTCGTGACAACGCATCAGGCTTCATCGCTTACGCGCGGAGCTCTGTGGATCGTGTTGTCCCGCCTAATTCTCGACAGAAAGCTTATGACAATACTGCTTCTTTTGCTTCATCGCGACCTATTCTCTTTGTACGCTTTTCTCTCACCGCGTATCAACCATCACTAACAAGACAGTCCTTTATTGTATCACAACTTCTGCTCTCTTTCCTCCCTCTTCTGATCTTCCTCACATTCTCCCTCTCAACCATCGTGTTCGCCCTTGGTGCAGCAATCGTCTTTGCTCTTTTCTGGATTGGCGTTGCCCTTCTTGTTCTCGTGCCTGCACTGCTCGTCACTTCTTCCATCGCCGTCCTCGTCTGGGGCTGGGCCATTGGCAGCTTCATCATTGCACGATGGCTGTACAACCATTCACCTGTCGGAGTGTAGAACAATGAGGTTGTGAAGAAGGAGAACGGCAATTAGTTTTACGCCTACACCGTCTGCCAGCTTGGTATTAGAAGCAACAACTGGGATCCTCATGATATGTCTGCATTTTGGGATCCGTGTATGGGTTATGGAGGATATCGGGATGGACAATAAAGTATCGGTTTGGCATGGAGTTTGTTATGTGCACTGATCAAGGCCTAATGGTAATGGAGGCGGGACACGACCCGTTCACAAAAATTGCAGAAGCATTGCGCTGTCAACATGTAACATTACACTGAACATCAAGTCCTAGGCTATTGCCAGCCTAAGCATTAACCCTAGTACAAAATGTTCCGCTCAAAGTAGTTGTTAAACCTCTATTTCTCATTAATAACCGAGACCCATCTATCTGTCCCAATCGCTCATGTACAAGTGCTTTACAGATACAGACCCTCTGGCTCTCCCTCCTGCTTTGTACGGAGTACTCTCTCACGCGCTGATCGGAAGTCCGCCATTTGCACCCGCATTCGTCGTTCTCGGAGAGCGAGCAGACCGGCTTCGGAGCAGATGGCCTTGATATCGGCACCTGAAAGGTCGTCCTTTTGAGAGATGAATTCCTCAAGGTCGACATCATCGTTCAGGTTCATCTTTGAAGTGTGAAGGGTAAAGATCTTGCGCTTGGTGTTCTGGTCGGGGTTCTCGAAGAGAATCTTTCGATCGATACGCCCAGGTCGGATCAGAGCAGGATCCAGGGTATCGATCTTGTTTGTGGCCATGATGACCTTGACGTCTCCACGGTCATCGAAACCATCGAGCTGGTTGAGAAGCTCCAGCATAGTTCGCTGGACTTCGCGCTCACCACCTGATGTTGAGTCGTATCGCTTCGTACCAATGGCATCGATTTCGTCGATAAAGACGATAGAAGGAGCGTTCTCACCAGCAACCTGACAGTGTTAGTAACGATCAAACACACAAAAAGAGACCACATACCTGGAAAAGCTGTCGCACAAGTCGGGGACCGTCACCAAGATACTTCTGAATAAGCTCACTACCCACGATACGTAGGAAAGTGGCGGAGGTCTGGTTGGCGACGGCCTTGGCCAGCAATGTCTTTCCGGTACCGGGAGCACCGTAGAGAATGACACCCTTGGGAGGCTTGATACCCATCTCCTCGTAAAGCTCCGGATGGAGCAGTGGCAACTCTACTGATTCTCTGACTTCCTGAATTTGCTGCTCCAGACCACCAATATCGGCGTATGACTCGGTAGGAGCTTTGTCGAGCTTCATGACACTGACGATAGGATCGGCATCATCAGTGAGCACGCCAACGATACTGACACTCTTATGGTGCAAAAGAACACTGGCGCCAGGCTCTAGCAAGTCCTTGTCGACGAAGCTCATGATGCTAACGTAGTACTCAGGACCAGTAGTACTACTGACGATCGCATGATCATCATCGATCAACTCCTCTAGAGTTCCAACACCCATGGGGCTTCCTCGCATGTCATCGACACGGCCACGCTCGTCTGCTAATCGATCGACATCGGCATCGGTGCCAGCAGATTGACCCTCCTTAGCTGCCTTGGCCTTGCGCAGGCGTTCCTGGTTCTCGACGTACTCCTCCTCGAGCAAGAGATGATCGTGGATTCGCTGCATTCGTAAAAGTCGGAGCTTGCATCGGCTGGTAGGGTAGACGGCGGGAAGTTTCTGAGCGGCGCTGGTGCCGCCAGCCTTTCTCTTCTTGCGGCCGACTCGTGTGGTAGGTCGAGGCGGAGGTTCGTACTTGGGCTTATCCTTCTATTGGGCTGTTAGAGTGGGAATGGAGGCTCCGGGCGGGTTTCTTGCCTTCTTGTCCTTCTCATCGCGTCCCCCTTCTCCCATGCCGGATTGACCTTGACCCTAGATAACGTCAATAGCTGTCAAGCTGCAGGATGACAGAAGTGTTTACCATTTTGTCAGGATCAGCTCTGGGAGCTATAGATTATGTGATATCGGTTGTTTAGCGTGGCAGTGGTTTCAATGAGGTGAGTCGTGATGGTGGATGTGATTTGACGTGGAGGAGATAGGTCGAGGCTCCCAAGCTTAGTGATGATGAAAGCGACCGCCAGGCGCCAGGGAAACACGACAGCAGCTCCAGCATAGTCACGTGCATCACCATGCTGAGTCACGTGCAACTTCAAACATCAACATGAATGTAGGATGTCGGAATCGAGAGACAAAATGTTATTTGAACTTATAAAAAGTAAAGTTTTACATTGCGAGCTCAAATTCCTTCTTACCATGTCCCTTCGTCTGTTTGGGGTGAATGTCAACATCTCATAGAAATGTCGCTATTGATAAACTCAACAAAAGCTATCCTACACCTACCCTAAGTTACCTAAACTTATACTGAGTTGCCTAAGTCTTTTTGGCAATTAGGATTGAGGTCCCGAGAATCCTTTCCTCCCCTAGGCGTGCAAGCAAGTGAAGAATGGCTTCATATATTATCGTCAAGTATCGCCACCACCTATCTTGTGTCATCTATCGTGACCTACAACCCATATGAAGTGCAGACCCCGTACCCAGTCTATGTTAAGTTGGTAAAACAAACCGATGCAAACTCCCCATACCATGCTTAAAGAAATTGTGTTTCAGATCGCCATTCCTTCTCTTGGTCCTCCATAGTCCACATTAGTTTTCGTGCAGTAGTCTGGAAACGACATCCCCCATGTAAGCCTCTTCCAGTTCGTAGTCTCGGCCTCCGTTGCGATCTATGCCGAAGTGAATGAAGGCCTCGACAACATCATCCAATGCGAAGCCCATGTTCACGAAACGTTCGACAAGGTCTCTGTTGTATCCAGAAAGTCTACTTCATGTTAGCTAAATTCTCTCCACCTCCATATCTGACGTACCGAGCAACATCATCCTTGACCGGAGCAGCTGCGACGTCGTTTTGGTATTTAGTGACGTCAACGTCTTGTCGTGGAGCACCGGCGTATTTGACAGCCCATTCATGGGCCATGAGAGCGAAGCGCTTGGGGTCTTCTATCATCATCTTTGCAACCTCGGCATCTTGCGGGTCCTTGGGGTTTGGGCACTCGAGAAGCATTCGAAGGGAGAGAAGAGCAGTCTTGATGGTCTGGACGGGAGACCAGTTGGAGCTGAGAGTGTCGAGACAGATAGCGCCCTGAAAGCTGAGTTAGTGTCTTGAATTTCTTTCTTGTCATAGTCCGCCTCTTCCTGGCTGTCGCCAATCCATCAAGTTGACTGTTCTTGGGCACCATGTCCGCTATTTTGAAGAAAGTTGACCTACCGTCTGACTGCTGATATTTGGATGCCAGATCTTGGTGTCAAATCTTATCATTGGTGCCTTGAAAGGATACTGATCCGGGATTTGTATGTCGACTGTGAAGGTGCCTCCAGCATAAGGGGTGTCGGGCGGCGCAGGGAATGTTCCTTTGAGATGCTTCAAGTCGTTGTTGACGAGAGTCGCGTTGACGCCTGAGTCGTCATGATCGGCTTCGATGTCCCTGAGCTCCTTGGCTACACGCCGGTCCCGAGACATGATGGCGATACTCTTGGAAGAAGCGGTGATGGAAGAGTTGAGGTTATTGAATAGAGCTAAATTAAAAAGGAGAATGGTTGGATCGACTGAGGAGACAAGAGATAACTTTGGGCCGTAAGACAGGCCTTCTGCAGGTCAGGTCGTGTCTTGTGCAGGCAAGGCAGGCTATTCGGTTGGTGATATTGGACAGAGAGGGAGGGGTCCTTGGATTTTGTCAGGCTGTGGCGTAGCTTAGAAGAAGGTGGCCGACGTCACTCCACTGAGAGACCGCTAAGAGTTAGCGTCCTGCGGGGGGTGTTACTCTTGGGTTGCAGTGTCCGGTTCAAAAATAGAATATCATGGATCAAGTTCGCGAAAAGTGGTTGGATAGAAGTTCAATCTTCGTTTGTCTAAGTGCTTCAATGGGAAGAGTAGGCGGTTGAACAGTGCTGCTTTATGTGTATTTCAGAAAAACTTTGTTTATGAAAAACTTTCTCTGACCAGCTGGCATTATTGCCTGGTTGCCAGCCAAGGTGTTTTCAACCACCTCACTTTAGAGCTTATTCAATTTTGTAGAGCTCTGATTGCTTGGAGTTAAGAGGAGTATAGACTGAAGCTAATCATGTCATATGGGCTTTACTATTCACTCTCGATTTTCTCAGATGAAATTCTGGTCGTAAGAGCTAGCGCTTTCAAGGACTTCGAGACCAACTTTAAACATTGGCTTAAATGGAAGTTTCTTTCAGTCTACTCATCAAGGTCCAGTCCTTTTCGAATTTTCAACTTTGAACTATATGTCGACATCCTATGTCAAGGTCTCACGCCTACACAACTTCTCGTACAATTACACTGTCACATGTGCATGATCCAGCATGATAATATGGCTTGAAACACTTTTCGACATTAGATGGTTCATGTTGTAATGTGACATTGTTGGCGCATTGCGTGCTGAGGGTTATGGCACACTCGCCTGCGGAAAAGGAACACCAAAAGGCCTTTCCACAATCTAGCCTGCGCGCCAGCCAGACCATCCTTGCTCTATCAGGTACGTACGAAGAAATCATGCAGTATGATGCAAATAGCCCTCCATGAGCGAGTCCCCGGTCAAATGAACTGGACTCTACCAACTCACTCCCCGACTCACACGTCTTGTCTCCCAAGGGTGAACCAAATAGTAGACGTATCTTAGTTAAAAAATTATAGCAGATCACGGCGGACGAACTCGTTGTAGAGAGCCTTGCCCAGACCAGCGGGAGAGCGCTCGACAATGACACCAGCGTCCTCGAGAGCCTTGATCTTGGTGTCGGCACCACCCTTACCACCGGAAACGATAGCACCGGCGTGACCCATTCGTCGACCGGGAGGAGCAGAGATACCAGCGATGAAGCTGACAACGGGCTTACCGCCGTTGACAGTGTTGGCCTGCTTGAGGAACTCGGCGGCATCCTCCTCGGCAGAACCACCAATCTCACCAATCATGATGATACCGTCGGTGTCGGGGTCCTCAGTGAAGACCTTGAGGCAGTCGATGAAGTTGGTACCGGAGAAGGGGTCACCGCCAATTCCGACAACGAGAGACTGACCAAGACCGGCCTGGGTGGTCTGGTTGACGGCCTCGTAGGTGAGGGTTCCGGAACGAGAGACAATACCGATGCGGCCGCGCTTGTGGATGAAGCCAGGCATGATACCGATCTTGCACTGTTCGGGAGCAATGATACCGGGGCAGTTGGGTCCGACGAGACGGGTCTTGCTTTGGGTCTTGAGCATGTCGGTGATGCGAACCATGTCTAAGTGGGTCCCTTGTTAGAAACCTTCAAAACGTTCCATCGACGTTGCAAAAACCTACCGTGCTGGGGGATACCCTCAGTGATGCAGACAACGAGGGGGATCTCGGCCTCGAGGGCCTCCTCGATACCGGCGGCGGCCAGAGGAGGACTGAGAAAAATTGTTAGGGGTCGTTTTCGTTGGGGTGTGGTTGATTAGACGTACGGGACGAAGAGACCAGTAGCAGTGGCACCGGTCTCCTTGACGGCTTCACCAACGTTCTTGAAGACAGGGAGGCCGAGGTGAGTCTGGCCAGCCTTCTTGGGGTTTGTTCCACCGACGACCTTGGTGCCTGTTTGTCGAGAGTCAGTTTTTGTCACATGTATCATCGTGACATCGATATAGCGAGGACCGTACCGTATTCGATAGCTTGTTGAGCGTGGAAACTACGTCATTCGTTAATTTTATATGCACTCTGGAAATTCAAGAATTGCGCCAACTCACGTTCCCTGCTTTCCGGTGAAGCCCTGGTAGATGACCTTGGTGTCGGCGTTGATGCGCAGGTTGTTGATGGTCTGGGCATACTGCGACGAAGAATAGGCTCGACGGCCAACGTTTTGCAGCGCCGAGGCGCGAGTTGCTCTGGCGAAGGACTGCATGATGTCGGGGGGTGGAGGGGAGAGGGAGTGAGAGAGAAAAAGAAATGTCGCTGTTTGTTGCAACGTCTAGAGGATTAACTTGGGGTTTTGGAATTGGAAGGGAAAAACCGTCGATACCAGGAGCTTTCGGGAGGTTCGTGGTTTCGTTCGTATCAAGATTATCCCGTGGCCGGGATTCAACGGCCTAAGCCCAAATGGGTCGACACACGCACTTTCCTCTCAAGGTCAGTTGGTGCTTGACCTTGCGCTACGGGTGGTCTCGGAGTCAGTATGCCGAGTGAGGGAGGACGGGAGATAGATGATCCGGGGTGAGAAGTGAAGGAGAGCCACTCACAAGAGCGCGTGGAGAATCGGTCGTGGTGAGCGTTTTGAGATACGGTTAATCGCGGGTTCTCGGTGAGGGCGAGACGACGGGAAGATGCGTCATTGGACGTGATGAGGACCTGAGACCCTCTTTTTGCTTCGGACTTGTATCTCCAATGTTTGCATCTCCTTGAGTTTACGTTTAAAATCGCGGACATTGACAACCTGATCCCGTGGGAACGCAACATGTTACATTTGCAATTATTCAAAATGAGTGAATTCTATCTACTTATGATCAAAGAGCGGCTACAGTCAGTTCCTATCCAAGGCAATAATATCCAAGATGGACATCATTCTCCCATTCCTCATTTGTTACTCAGCAATTGAGTGGTAACATACAACTCCGAGGAGGCATCTTGAACAAAATCAGTTGATACCTCGGCCCCGGTAAAGATTATCGGCTGGGATAATACATCACCGGACCATCCATTCCCTGTCGCTCATACTCATCCAATTGAAGATACCGCATCGCATGACATTTCAGTTCATCGCGTGCATCTTCAAGGAAGAGCAACATTTCCTATCGAGTCGTCTTAGTAGACGCTCTTGACGTCCCAGCCGACAGCCATCACCCTGGCAGCAAGGAAACAGGCGAGTGCCAGCACATATGACAGCCCATCAAATACAATGAGAGCAGTCCAGCCAGTGTCACCCTCGCCGCCAGCCTCGAGAATGGCACCAGCAATGGGCAAGCTGCTGAGGGTTCCAAAGCTAGCTACCATAAAAGCTGTCGAGATGAATCGTCCATAGTCGCGAGGATCGCAGAGCTGACCTACGCAAACTGGTGTGAGTCCAAGGTTACTACCACTTGCAAAACCAAACACAACAGCGAATGCGATGATCATAGCCTTGGAGTCTCCAGCTGGCAGCCACAGAGCAAAGGCCGATATGATGCAGAGCCCAAGCGTCAGTAGAATGACATTAAACCGCCCGATCTTGTCGGCCAAAAGACCGGGGAGAAAACGACCGAGCAATGAACCCGCATTGAGGATCGAAATCAGGGTATAAGAGCTGTTGGCGTCGCCAGAGTGTCGTCCGGCATAAGACACGATGTACGTCAATGGCACGAAGAGCCCCCATTCCATAAAGAAGATTCCACATGCCGAAAATGTAAATTTCAGGTCTTTGAAGATGCTGAAGTCTGGCCAGACCGAGGACACCTTGTTTGATCGCGGGAGACGCGAGCGCATGAAGAGCGTGGCGGGAACGGTGAGTCCGAGGATGATGAAGCCCAGGATACGGGTCGTCCGTGCAAAGCCAACGCTGGGCAGAAGTTTCTGTAGAAAGATGGGAAAGATGATGCCGCCGATTGATCCTGCAGTCATTGCAACTCCAGTTGCAAGACCTCGTTTCTGGTCGAACCAATGGGCAATAGATGCATAACACGGTGAATTGAGAAGGGCGCCTCCAAGGCCACCCACAACCGAGTATGAAAGAAGAATCTGGTAGAATTCCTCGCAAACGCTAAGAATGAACAAACTTGTCGCAATGAGTATACCTCCAGAGGCAACAATGAGTCGAGGACCGTATTTGTCAAAAACAGGTCCGACTTGGATACCGACGAGAAAGACGAGGAAGAGATAAAGACTGAAGATCCAGCCAATCTGCGAAGACGAGTAATCACGAAGCTGGTTCTCGGAAAAGTACGACTCAAAAACAGCAGAGGTGTTGATGAGGCCGTAGATCGAAAACATTCCACAAAAGGACCCAAAGACTACAAGCCAGGCCTGGAGTCCGCCCTCTGGAAATTCGAGGTTCGCTTCACTGTCGTCGGTGCTGGCTTCGCCGGGGTACGCTACACCTCCGGTCTCGAGGCCCGCATCGTCCGGGACCGGGACGGCATCGCCACGGGGGACATCGGGGTTAGTTTTGGGTATGGCCTGCTTTTCGTGCTGGTTTTTTAGGCAGCTGTCCTCTGCATTGTGTTCGTTAAATGTCATGTGTCAAAAACACGGTAGATCACAAAAAGGGGTACAGTCTTTCTAATGCCTCAGGGTGTGAAGAGTGTAGTAGACATGAGATAACCGCTATGGATGGGGTTGAGATGGGTTGAGGGAAAGGTTAGTGGGGAGGAGGAGGAAGAATTTATAATCCCGGAAATATGATCCGAATCGGTTAATAATTTGCATGTTCAATAATTGACAGTTGGGGTTGGGCGCTATTATTAACAAATGTCATGTTAGTGTTCGGTTCAAGGGCGCAGGTGTGCAGGGCTTGGCATCAACTGTGAGTTCTATGACTCAATTACCAGTGTCATGTTCTATGACGGACAAGTGATTCACTCTCTATGTTCAAGTGCTCCATCTAATTGGACTTCAGAACATGGAATTGTTTCCAGTGATCAATTGAGAATTCTCGGTGGGACTCGATCTCGTCTATCGGCAGTTATCCACATCGGATCCGGAGCCGCTCCGCATTCTTTGACAATGGGGATTTCACTTGAGCTTATTTTCTTGCACCGATGTGATTGCTTTAGTAACAGTGGTGAAGCCTGTGAGATTGAGGATTCGCTTAGTTTGGGTCCCATTCTTTGTGTAGTGATGTCAGTGTGGGCTAACGACACTGGGATCCCCAAGTCGGCATCTCGTTCCGAGTACACTAACTACACCAACTCAAGGAGTAATCTGGATCAGATTGAGGGCTATTTATAAAGATTCTATTAACAAATCAATATTCTCTCTCAGCTTATATCTCCCCTCTGGCTCGTATTTGTTGTCATCACTGGTGATAACCAGCGATCATGCATCTGTCAGGTTATACTCCCGAGATATTGAAACAATTGGATGAGGGTAGCATGTGAACTTCAGATAAAGGCCAAGAAAACTATTATTTATCCGTTCGTTACTTTAACAAACCAAAGGATGATGGTGAGTTGGCGTTGATGATGCTGACGGCTTCATATGTTAAATCAGTGACTCTCTACCACCAACAGATTGAGCTTGGATGTATGGTCTAGATGACTCCGCGTCTTTTATTCAGGTCTCATTCAGTAATTCATCTTTTATGGGGAGAATTGAGTACTAGGGAGCCAACCAAAGCAACATAGCAGTCATGCAGAATGAATCCTCCACAGTCAACAAACACCTGTTGTCAACATCATATGCCCATCTATTATCTATGAATGCTAAACTAAATCCAAGCGCCATATTAATACTCCAATTATCTTTAAAGCCCATTGCTTTTGCATGAAAAGACACTGCTCACTTGTCCTGCACGGAATTGATCTATGATACCCTGCACACTGACGTATGTACCCAGCGTGAGGTACAAGGCACCAGTCAACATGATGACAACATTCAGAGCCACTGAAAGAGCGTCAAGAATGGGATTTCGTTTCCTTCCAACATTACGATCTGCATTGCGCATGCGGAAATAGGCCAGAGCCCAGAAGATGAAGCCGAACCAGCAGTTAAACAGTGACGACATGACTGACAGCACTGAGAGCGTGTTAGCAATGATCCATGAGTCTGAGGGTAGTCACTTACACGAAGAGAAGAATGGAATAATCTCAGCTATAAAGAATGAGGCGGCCCAGCTGATCAGCAACACCAATCCCCACCAGAACCAGCCCTTGAATGTGTGCGATGTGAGATGCTCGGAGTCCTTAAACATTCTGAAGAAGACAAATCGCCCTGTGACACTTGCGTACAGGCACCCGACAAAGATAATGGTTGGAACCATGAAAGAATACGAGACCTTCTTGTAGGTATCAGTGAGGACGCCGAATGCCGGTGTGACCATGTACTGGTTGCCCGTATAAACGTAGATGACAGACCCGACAACGCTGAATGTAACAATCTCAGCCATGGTGCAAGCCCACAATGCCTTGGGAAAGTCTCTGTTCTTTCGTCAGAATGGTCACGGCTGCATCGAATGACATGGCAACTTACCTCGGATCACGCATCTCAGCGATGAAGCTGGGAATTGTAGTCTGGCCAATAAATGTGTAGCTCATGTTCATGAAAGCCGACATGCCAGTAACAAGTGTCGTGGTCTTTGGTGTCCAGATTGAGATTATCGGTTCACCCATCTCAGGATAACCGGCGGGTTTACCCTGAGCGCCTGCAAATGCCGTTGCCAGGATGACGGAAATGAAGGTAAAAAACGTCGAGGCAAAGCCAAGCTTTGACAGCATGCTAAAGGTGCGAGGAAGCGACCCGATCCAGCTGATCACCGTGACTACTGCAGCGAATGCAACGGTTCTGCAGCCTGATATGGAGTCGGCCTCGGTCATTGTGTTGAGGTAGATTGCGCCGACCAAGACATGCAGAGCTTGGATAAAGGTATTGTTCAGGACAAACATGACTGCTGTCCACCACCACGCCCATCTCTTATTCCACCAGATCATCTGCCCAATGTCGCACACATCTCTAACCTCCGGATGTCGCAGACAAAACTCCCAGAGCACAAGACTCGTGTACAGAACAAGCCCAGCAATAACAGCCGTCAAGATCAGCCCAGGCACTAGACCCAGAAGACTATACGACCAAGGGAAACTCATAATAGAGAGCACAATGTACTCGCTAAAGAGCAGCCCTGCAGTCTTTTGCCAAGAACATGTCCTGTACTGAATAGCATTTCCCGCTTCGGAAGCGACTTGCTTGTCGACGAGATCCTCAGCTGCGGTGCTTTCGCTTTCGGACACATGCGCCAAGTGCTCGGCGAGGGGTTCGATTCGCGGGCCAATTGTGACGTTGGGACCTCCAAAGGCTGATGCGAGCCAAGGCCGTCTGCTTGGCGTGCGGGATGTTTGAAGCTCTGAGTCTTCTAGTGTCGATGTTTTGTCCATGATAATGTACGCGCTATCGCTGATCAATGCAGGCAGAAATTTGCAGGATGCTACAGTGGAGGAGTAGGATGTGAGAGAAGACAATGATGAGAATAATCACTCAAAGTAAAGAAACGGCTGGAGTAAAGTACCCGTCCATGGAAGAGAGGCAGCAACGGTAGTACCAGACCTTGGACACTAACACAAGTAAGGCCGATCTGCAGTGAGCAAACTCCCCGACGGTGCATGATGAGGCGTCGGGTACATCGCAACAGGGAATGTCCTTGGCGATCAACGCTACCACCATTCAAACGGCATATGTGCTGATTGGTCCTGGTCCTGGTCCTGGGGCTGCGGAGATACCCTCACATCGGACACGGCGTCCCCAGCCATGCTCGATATGTACTGTAGCAATGTGCTCAGCCAGTGTGGCACTGCGATTGATAAATTGACTCCATCGCCTCTGGTGAAGCAGATGTGTATCTGTGGCATCCATCTCTCTCCTTCAGCAGGCAGGTCTTCTTCCAGCATGACGATATGGCGGTGGGTAGCATGGGGGACTTAAAACTCACCGCAGATCGTATTAACTCTTGAAATCACGCAATGCACCAGTCGTCATTATTAAAAGTTCCTGCCACTCTTATTGCACAGACCGTAAGTGGGTGTGCAAGCTAGTGGGTTTGGGTTTTAAGCTTACTGCCCATAAGCTTGTTTTCCAGCACTCAGCTTCTACTGGTCAATCAACGGAAATAGGCCGGCGCCGTCGACACCCAACCTCATAGCAACCGAAGGTATTGTGAGCCCCTCCTATTGCATGACAACCTATTGGGCGATATCTCTCACAAGCTCGATGAATCAATTTGATCAATACATTTTATGATAGTATTGATGTAGAAATGCAGTAGCTTTTGTAGATTATCGAAACTTTACAAATAATCGCATTAGGGTATCACTAGCGGTCTATCAGACGATGCTCTCCGGTCAATGACCTGAAACTATCCCTGGAATAGAAAGGATACCATCACCCATATCGACTGAAATTACCTATGTAATCTCTTTCAATGCTATGGCACATAGTGGCTTGGTGCCTCTCGTATCGAAGTCTACTGTCTTACACAAGATACCCTGCACGTCTAGCCTTCTTGAAGCACATTCTGGTGAGAGTATAGATCCTGGCCGATGAAGTGGTGATAATAGATAGATCTATATCGAGGTATACTTTGTCATCACATACACCCATTTTCATTTAGGCATTCTAATCTCATTCAGTGTGTTGGCCTGATATACGCCGTCAATGTCATGACATTAACTCGCACGCGTTCGTTACGTTCTATCTAGTCATCCTTGACATCCGAAATTTTGAATCCTCCAGGCACCAGCTTCTGGAAAACCTGCTCAGGATCATACTTGGCTGCCGCATCCTTCATCTTCCTAATGTTCTCAGCACCGTAACTACCAAGAGGATCCTGACTCTTATCCGCATAATTCAAATAAGTCCACTCAAGATTGCCCCCCTCGATAGTAGCAGCAAACTCTTGCACGTCCTTAATCCAAGCCTGGACCTTTGGTCGTGCAAAAGCCTCCTGCTCAGCAGTCTGTGCCATGACGACAGCGAGAAAAAGAATGCCGTTGGTCTTGTGACGGTCCATACCCATGATGTTGCCGCCTGCTTCAATGCCGCGTTGACCGAAGAGTGTAGGGAGGGGCTGGAAGAGACATTGAGTGATGAAGTTACCGTCAGGGATGAATGCCTTGAGTTCTTCAACAAGTTTGTCATGAAGCTCTGACGCTTTGGAGATGATTCGGGTATCGTTCTTGAAGCAACATGTGAACCAAGTGTCACTGGGAGGTCAGCTTGAAAAGCGACGAGACAAATGAGTCGACTTACTAGAAATTGGCGGGGATGTTGTACTCGAAAGCCATTTCGGTTAGAGTAGTGTTCTTGACAGTGCTCATGATCTCAGGAAGAGCTAGCCACTTCTCATATGCCGGAGGCTTCTCAATCCCTTCCATGTTGGCATATAGAGTAGCGACGACGACATCTTTGAAATCAGGCATATGAGTAAAAATGGTGACAAGGTTGCTGTGAATATCATTGGGAACATTATCCGTGAAAGAGGAGAGTGCCTCAATGGCACCAGGGATGACCTGCTTAGGGAAGAAAGTCATTCCACCCCAGACCTTATCAGACTTGATAGCCTTCATAGTGAACCTGGTGACGATACCAAAGTTGTTTGATCCACCCTTGAGTACGCGGTACAAGTCGGCGTTGTTCTTCTCATCGGCGGTGATGATATCACCGTTAGCAAGAACAACTTGGTAAGACACAACATTGTCACACCCAAAGCCTTGTCGAGCTGTGAAGAAAGCATTGCCACCTCCGAGAAGAAGACCAGCAACACCAACATTACCTTCACGGCCTCCAGCAACAGCACGGCCATGCTTGCTCAGCTCAGCATAAACCTCTCGCCATCGACAACCAGGTCCAATATCAGCTGTCTCAGTAGCAGCATCAAAAGACACATGGTTCAGATGAACAAGATCTATAGTAACACCACCCTCAATATTGTTCGACCCAGCCCAGTTTGTATGTCCACCACTGCGAACAGCAAACTTCTGCCCAGCAGAGACAAGAGCCTTCACCACGGAAGCGACTTCTTCAGGGGCACGAGGCTGGACGATACAAGCGGGCTTGATCTTGGCACTGTTGGACCAGTATGACTCTTGGCGAGCCGAGAACTCGGCATCTGTAGGCGTGAGGATACGAGCCTCGAGACCAGCTGCAATAAGCCTTTCAGCCTGAGGGATCGACGGTTGAGGAGTAAGGGTAGTCATGATTGGATGCTTGTGGGCAAAGAAGAAACGAGAGGGAATTGAGTTTCTGACGCTTCTGAGGGGCACATAATCAAGCCTGTCTATGTATGTGACTGAAGCTGATAGACAGTCGGAGTCCTGTTGTTCTCCATGGGGAATAGACAGATATCCAGGGTCCTGGTACCTGGCCCTGTTTCGTAAATCATTTGCTCCTTTAGTGGGAGAAACCCTTTGACGTTACTTTCTCCTGACACTTGCATCATGCTTGACAGGACTATTCAATGGGGCTGAAGAAGCCAAAAAGCAAGGGTCCTGGGATGGTCTCTTCCTGCGCGAAAACAAAGACCTCGGTAAAGCATCTCGCTACCATGCTATTGGAAGAGGAGGTTGATAGCGTCCGGAACTAGAGAATCCGTTTCATCTTACGAGATAGCCATCTTTGGGCCCAATTACGAAAACTTGAAATTGTGAAGCTATTGAAATTGGGCCTGAATATTCTGGTCGGAATTTTGGTACTCTCCGAAGCTAAGGTCTCGGATCCGCACCATGAATCCTTCGTTGAATTCGGATTTGATAACCCTGCTCCCCGGCAGCTGCCAAGAGGTTTCTGCAGGCTGACAGATAGAGACATCCTTGTACGCTTGAAGAAAAAGGCTGATATCCGGATTCTTCTTCTAGGTTCCTCAAGCTTCTCAAGTTTTCGTCGACCTGTTATCAAGCAATCATATAATGGTACAACCAAATTTCAGCTGTCAAATCATATTTTCGTATATATGAACAGTATCAACGGGCTATCCCTAGCGTACCCGCGGGCACCGAGAGGTCGGAATGCCGTCTCAATAGCCGTCTTCATCACGGAAGTTTTCGAACAGGGGTGTATATGTCAACGTCTACTGACTCAGAGTAACACCCACAGAAACAGAGTTTGGACTATGTGTGAAAGACGCTGATCTCTTCTAACCGATATCCAAGGGTTTTAATCCTTACAATCGTTTCTTTTCCCTCTCCTCAGGAGTGGGTCGTATATCCGATATAGGATGTGGTAATATGCATGCAGGTAATCCGTAGCAACTTAATTGAATGAACGTAGAGGCTGTGTACTTCTACGAATCTAATATTTTTCGTTCTTCGTTCCTGCATGTGATTTCGCATTGATACCTTCTTGCTACGTACTTCTTTGTTAGTTGGTTGACTTCACAATGACTGCTGTCGTTAATGGCGTCCCCGTCGCTATACCACCACCTGAGGGTTATAAAGTCGATCTCGATAACCCACAACGGAACAGTGTCACTGCAGCATATTGGCTTTATGGAGTTGGGAATTTCTTGACTGTCTTATTCATTGCACAGAGAGTATATGTTAGAAGTTTTATACACAAGACAATACGAATAGAGGATGGTAAGTCACGTTGACCCCCTTACTTCGTACGCTTTCGCTAATATTCTTGAAGCATGTTTAGGGGTAGCATATGTGAGCAACATCACCCAAGACCTCGTGTCTTGCATCCACAAAACTGACCGATGCAGGTGTTTTCTGTAGTACTTCAGACCCTGATACTAAGTCAGTGCCCAAGACACCCTCAGACCTACTAGACTAACGTGCTCGAGCGTCTAGGGGACTTTATCCGCGGCATAATGGGCACCCACGGCTGGGAGATGCCAATAACCAAGTTTGCCCAGTTCGCACGAGCCCTCTACCTCCTACCAATCCTCTACAACCCCGTCCAATGCGGCGCAAAGATGGCTTTGCTTCTCGTCTACCGTCGGCTTGCACCACAAAAGTGGTTTCATGTCACAATCTGGGCTACGTCGTTTGTGGTGATTGGCTCCTCGATTGCGATAACGTTTACGACAATCTTCCCGTGCAAACCTGTTCGAGCGGGCTGGGACATCACAATCACCGATAAGAAGTGCATCGATCGACCAGCTGTTTACCAGGCTACGGCTATAATGGGTGCGATTACAGATGCCATGGTGCTTGCGGTGCCGATACCTGTTGTTATACCACTACAGATTTCGAGAAGACAAAAGATTGGGTTGATTTGCTTCTTTGGTGTTGGTGGAGTGTAAGCAAACATTTCCAGGCAACAAGGGCAAGCTAACAACACCAGTACTGTCTTCACATCAATCATGAGACTGATTGCGTTGATTCGGTCCATGGGTAACGTTGACCAATCCTGGGGTGGTGGTCCTGTTCTTCTTTGGATGTAAGTTTCCTCTTCCTGTCTAACATCTCCTCTGACACTTCCAGCTTCGCCGAAGCCAACCTCTCCATCATTTGCGCAACTCTCACGACAGTCAAACCATTCATCAAACACATCTCGCCAAGGATTCTCGGCTCCTCATACGGAGCGTCAAAGGCAGGCATGTCAAACCCAAGCGCACCACCAACCATCGGAGCAATCTCCAGTGGCGGTATGCCCAGACATGACTACTATGAACGATTTGACGATGGGCCGATGTATCCATTGCAGACTGTTACCAAGGCAGAGGCATCAAAGGGTCACGGGAATAAGAATGGAGGATCACGCTCAGTCACACGGCCAATGTCAGGAGATAGTCAGGGAGATTCCGACTCTGAAAAGGCAATTCTGCAGACGCGTACTACGACAGTGACATATTCTTAGAGAGGTTCTGTTGGCGTATTGGAAGATTAAGATCATGACAGACATCAAGGCATAGATAAAATAATATGAGGCTAGAGTGAACTTGTCTCAACTTTCAAGTTCTCGTGTCGTTTCCAAAATGGTAATGGCTGAAAACATGATGCCTGTACAAATAGTTCTATTAAAAACTGATAATTTACAACAAAGCCTCAAACATTGAGCTCTAAAGTAGAGGTAAGTTCTGCAAACCAGATTTGTTTTTGGTGAGCCTGTGGTTCATATTTGTCGATGTTGCTCCGTTGGATAAGAGCAGATGCGTTTTCTAACGATTGCGTTTTGCTGAGTTGCAGCTAAAACGCCCAGGTTATATTTAGGAGGTCCTTATGGAGCAAGAGAATACCGGACCTTGATATAAGGGTTCAAAATAGGTTTAGCAAAAGGAATA